GCTCAAGCCAGAACTTCCAATACTATGTTGAACAGGAGGGGTGAGAGTGGGCATCCTTGTCTAGTTCCAGTTTTCAGGGGAATTGGTTCCAATTTTTGTCCATTTAGGAGTATGCTGGCTGTGGGTTTCTCATAGATGGCTTTTACTATTTTGAGGTATGTTCCCCCATATGCCTAGATGTTCAAGGGTTTTTATCAAGAAGGGGTGCTGGATTTTATCAAAAGTTTTTTCTGCATCTAATGATATGATCATGTGGTTTTTGTTTTGACATCTGTTGATGAATTTAATTACATTTATGGTTTTACGAATGTTGAACCAGCCTTGCATCCCAGGAATGAAGCCTACTTGGTCATGGTGGATGATTTTTGAGATGTATTGCTGAATCCGGTTCGTTAGGCTCTTGTTGAGAATTTTAGCATCTATGTTCATCAGAGATATTGGCCTGTAGTTCTCTTTCTTTGTTGGATCTTTACCTGGCTTGGTATCAATGTGATGTTGGCTTTGTAAAATGATTTGGGGAGAGTTCCATCTTTTTCAATCACCTGGAATACCTTCAGTAGGATTGGTATCAGCTCCACCTTAAATGTCTTGTAGAACTCTGCTGGAAAGCCATTTGGACCAGGGCTTTTTTTGTAGGAAGTTTTCTTATTACGTAGTCAATTTCCTTGATTGTTATTGGTCTATTTAGGGTCTCAGTTTCTTCTTGTTCCAACCTAGGTAGGTTGTGTGATGTCAGAAAGTTCTCCATTTCCTTAATACTGCAATATTTTAAAATACAACATTGCTGGGCAGTGAGTAAGGTCCTCTACTGGAAAAAAAAATTTTCAAAATTATAATGAAAACAGACTAAATCATACTTAGGAGTATAATACTCAATATAATAATATAGTATAATAACTGAAAGTAGTAAAGATAAATAAAACTGGCACACACTATTGCTTAAAAGCCTATTTCAATGAAAGCAACACTGAATGTATTTATTTGTTTTAATTTAGATTCAGGAACTACATGTGCAGGTTTGTTACATGAGTATATTGCCTGATGGCGAGGTCTGGGCATCTGCTGAACCTGTCACCCCAACAGTGGCTTTGCCCCACTCTCTCCCTCCCCGTTTCTGGAGTCCCCAGTGTCTATTTTTCCTATGTATGTCCATGTGTATCCAATGTTTAGTTCCTAGTTATAAATGAAAAATAAGCAGTATTTGGTTTTCTGTGGCATTAATTCACTTGGAATAATGGCTTCCAGCTGCATTCAAGTTGCTGAAAGAATGATTTTGTTCTTTTTTATGGTTGTGTAGTATTCCATGATGTATATGTACCACATTTTCTTTATTCAATCCATCAGTGATGGGCACTTAGTTTGACTACATGTCTTTGCAATTGTGAATAGTGCTGGAACAAACATGAGTGCAAGTGTCTTTTTGGAGGAATGATTTATGTTTCTTTAGGTATATATACCCAGTAATGAGACTGCTAGGTTGAATGGCAATTTTGTTTTTAGTTCTTTGCAAAATCCCAAACTGCTTTTCAAAAGGCCTGCACCAATTTACATTCCCACCAACAGTGTATAAGCATTCCCTTTTCTCTGCAATCTAGTCAATATCTGTTGTTTTTCTGATTTTGTAATAATTGCTATTCTGACTGATATGAGATGGTATTTCATTGCAGTTTTGATTTGCATTTCTCCGATGATTAGTGATGCTGAGCATTTTTCATGTTTGTTTACTGCCTGTATGTCTCCTTTTGAGAAATGTCTGTTCAGGTCCTTTGCCCAAGTTTTAATACTTTTTTCTTGTAGATTTAAGTTTCATATAGATTCTGAATATTATTAGTCCTCTGTTAGATACATAGTTCACAAATATTTTCTCCCATTCTGCTGTCTGTCTGTTTACTCTGTTGATAGTTTCTTTGCTATACAGAAGCTCTTTTGTTTAATTAGGTTCCAATTGTCAATTTTTGTCT